TTCAAATTTTCATATTGAAAGTAAATATCTGATATCTGCTTTCTGATACTCTTTCAAAACTATAGGTAGTATATGATGTTTGATGTGTTATTTTTGAACAATAATTTTCAAATTTAATATTTAAAGTAAATGTCTGATACCTATTTTTGCGATCATATTTATGAATCGTATGTCAAAGTAAATATCTGATTTCCTGCTTAAAAATCATATATCAGCGATCAGACGTTTAGTGAAAATTGGTACCAATTTGAGATTTGTCATGACCTCTATTAGTCAACAACAATTAACTACTCGAATATATCTCGTCTTGCTCATTAGTTCACTCAGTGTCATTTTATTTTATTCATCAATTATTGATCGTATCGTAATCAAAACATATTTGTATCCATCAATTGTAGATTATGAGCATTTATTCGATCAGAATTCAAATGACATGAATTGTCCATGTACGCAGATATCGATTCATTACAGTGCATTTGTTAATCAATTTGAAGTTAGCTCTTTTCATCAAGTATGCCTTTACTGATGGTCTAAAGAGAACTCTGTCAGAATTCACAACGCAGTGTAGTTGATACGATTGAAACATTTCTTGTGTCAAGTATGATAGTATATCAAATAATACCACGAATACAATTTCAAAACGAAATTGATGCAACTTTCGATCGACTCAAAACATCCATTCCAGTTGTATTTACTCGAACATTAGATCTAATTCGTACAAATATACAAAGTAATGCATTATTAAGCTTATTTTTTTCTAATTGGGAGGTAGTGATGGTTGACAATAATAGAAGTGGGAATGCTTCATTCCTTAGTGTACCTGTTAATTATGAAGTAATGGATCAGAACACGACTTGTTCTTGTTCTACAACACGATCTTGTGCAGTACCAGCACAACTTCTTTACAATACAACATCATACTATTCATTCAAGGGTTTGGTATGCAGCTGTTTTATACTTGAAACAATTTTGCGCTCTTCACTATCCTGTTTCTATTCTCTATCATGCATTAATGAAATTCGAAATGTAAAGAATCTTAACGCAGAAATGACGCTGGAAGAATCAGCCGCTTTATATGGTATTCCTGTAAGGTTGGATCCTGCATTGGCACACTTTGCTGTTGATGATACGATTGAAACATTAGCTTATAACATGTTTATTGAAACGTGGATTAACGATACATTCTATGAGAAGTTCTTTGATGTTTTCGTACCAAAAGAATGCTCCTATACATATCATTATCGATTTGATGCTCGAGAACTTTTAACAACCTTTTTGAATATATTCTCTACTTTGTCTGGTGGATTACGATTTTTCGTCCCATATCTTATTACAATTATTGCGAAAATAAAAAACCGATTGAGTATCATACCAGTAGAATGACTTACTAGTATTCAAGACTAAAGCTTTTAATGTTGTAATTATCAATATTGTTACTCATATTTGCTTTTCTATTGTAATAAAAGCTCTTGTCCATGGAATAATTATGGAGAAAACTCGAAAGTAATCGAACCGTCTTTAAACTTAATCTTCGAAGAGATCAAAAGAAGCTTCAAACTTAAAACAAAGTAAGAAGAGTTCAACCTTTAGATCTTCTGTGCTGTAGTAATAACTTTGATTCTCAAAATATTCAATATGTATTTAGATAATGATATAATTATATTTAAAAATAGATATGGAATTGTGCAATTAAAAAAAAGCATTTCAAGAACATCAAATAAACAATCCGATTATTATTCATATTTCGAAAAATTAATAAAATGCACATAAAACTTATTGTTTTTTATAATAAACTACGACCATGTTTTAGTATTACATAAGATCACTCGATGGAATGTGTCTAATTGACATGTTGAGCTCTTGAACATGAAAACATCAGCAAAAATTTTATAAAAAAATACAAGTTTATATTTTCGCTTGAAATAAAAGTTCACCAGACAGTCTACACTTCATGAACGAGTATTACGCGCACAACATCCATCAAAAGAATGATATTGATTACAATTAGACCCAAAAATATTTGTATAAAAGTTTCCTCAAAAATATCATTTTGATAACAAACAATCATAATGTATGATGAACTTCAATGAAAAGAAAAAAAGTCGTGAACTTTTCTTTGTTGACAGATTCATTCAGTCGGACAGACTTGACTAAAATAAACATTATGTAATTAGCCTAGTCAAAAAATCAGTCAAATTTAAAATTTGCCCAGAAAATTTGACTGAATTTTAATTTTGACTACAACATATATATAGAGATGAATTTGATTCTTTTGAAACAAATCGAATATCAGTAATAAGTATGGATCCAATATTTGCTATTGATGTTGAAACAATTTTTTCACCTTATGGAGCAAAATATATAAATGAGATTGAAGTATAGTACAAAGTTTTGTATAATTGAATCGAAATTTTTGTTTTTTTTTGTTTTATTTAGTCATTAACACAAACGATCGAGATTTGTTTAGCCGAAGGTTTTATTCATAGTAATAAAAACAAAGAAATTCTTATTTCAAGTCTCAAGAAACGAATTAATATTAATTGTATTATTGAAAAATATCAATGTAAGTTATTTTAAGAGAAAAAAAAAGTTTTATTCATTTTAATTGTTCAAGATGTTATTGATGATATTGAAATTCTACAGCAATTTGATGTCGATATTTATATGGATATAGATCTTTTTCTAGCATGGATGTAAGTAAATGTGTGTTCTTTTTTTTGAATTCAAATTAAAATATTTTTCATTTAGAGAGGCTAGAATGGGTTTACATCATCAAACAACTATTAACGAATTTGAAATAGCACAAAATAAATGTAAATCTATTCTTTATTATTATATACGACGGCAAAATTTATTTTTCATTTTAGATGCTCATGATTTCAAATCAATAATTCGAAATTTGAAAGCATTTAATATCAAGAAATTATTCGAACAGTAAGTTGAACATCATTTAACTTGAGAAGAAACAAAAACTCTAATCACTGGTGTCTTATTTATTTAAACTTTAAATTAAATGTATTCATCTTACGAAACTAATTTTTTATTGTAGAAACAAATTCATCAATATAGCTGATAATGATGAAGTTTCATCTTGCTAGTTATTTTCATTCATAAAATCTTCAGATAAAAGCATTTTTTCTTGGTATTTATTGTTTGTAAATATGTTCAATTCAAGTGATTTCTTCAATTCTTATCATATTTATAATTGATTTTCTTTGAAATAAAAGTATTGTAATAATCTTTATGAAAAATAAATTCTTGAATGACATGTTCTATTCTATCTCATGACCTGTTGTAGAATTTCTTATCGTAGTCTACCAACTGAGTAAAAAAAGTTCATCCCGTTCAGCATCACTGATGTTTATCAGGAGGAGTGATTCACCCACGAAAAAAAAAATTTATATTAAAGAGCGTTTCAACGCAACTTTTCGAAAAAAACGTTATTTCCGGTTTCAAGGCATTTTTTTCAACTTGAAATGTCGCCCGAAACATCGTTCGAAAGCGTTCTTGTAGAATTTTTTTGTTGAAATCATGAATTTTGTACAAACACACTTGAACATACATTTTTTTCAACGTGTTTTTTATTCAAAAAAACAGGATTTTCACAAACGTGTCAGAAAGCGTTGTTTTAATACGTTTTTCACATAGAAAAAAATGAGTAAATTTACAAATAAGTTGAAAGAATATTCAAATTCATATTTTAGACAAAAATGTTGTTCTATGGCACAAGAGTCTACTGACATTTGGAGAAATGTTTTGCAAGATCACACTCGATAATAAATCGCCTAAATATATCGATTTTAGAGACAAATTTTATGATTATTACACAGTATGATGTGCTTAAATATTACGAAAGGAAATAGTTGTGTATCAGAAAGAAAAGCTTCGACAAAATCGATCAAGTTTTGTTTATTTAAAAAGATTTCTTGAGCTTGAGGGTGTGAATATGTGGGTGTGAGTGTGGATGTAAGTGTGGCATGTGGGCGCGGGGTGTGGGTGGATGGGTGTGAGTAATTGTTCAAGAACAACTCATACCCACACCAACACCCTCTTAATATCACAAGAATAATAGTATTATACGAGAAAAACATGATGCCTATAAGGTTCTATCGTGTCACTTTTGGGAGTAAAATGTGCTATCTATCTATGCGAAATTGAAAAGGTAAAAGAGGAAATTCGCGATTTCTGTTAAATTTCTCGGAAAACTACCTTCCCAATTAGCATCTAAGTAGCCGTCTGATAGACATTTTTACTTCTCATTTTCAATCACTCAAACGATAGTGTCGGAAAGATCTTAATGAGCAAAATGAAAAGAGTTTATCCGATAGATATCTCACTTTCGACTTGTCAAAACCTAGTATAAATTAGGTTTTTTTTCTATGAAAGGGTGTGGGTGTGTCGGTGTGTGGGTGGGGTGTGGGTGTGAGTGCATATCTCCATCAATACCCACACCCACACCCATAATGATGCTTTACTTAATTTTAAGTGAAGATAAATGTTTCACCTGTGTAGTAGACGATGAGCAACTTCAATAGATTCATTTACTTCTATATGCAAATTTGTTACATGTGGCAACATGAAATCCTTGTTTTGTTGCTTCGTATGAAAGACATGCAGTGAGAAATTGGAAGTTGTGCAAATAAAAGACAGACTACGATCAAATAATTCACGTTTTTCTTCATGAGAATAAAAATGAAACAAAAGAGAAAAGAAAAGGATTGTTCGCCTCGAATAAGGTACGCATAACTTCAAGCGTTCTCCATTCTATTTAGGGTGTGGATGTGAGTTAAGATGAGTTGAAACCAAAGCCACATCCATGCCTTCACTCACCTACACTTACACCGCACCCACATCCACATCCACACCCATACCCACCACCATCTTCATCTTTATCTCTTCATCTTTCACTTTATTTGTATGGTATCCGTTCTCTTCTCGAGTGATCGCTACGCTTTCATATGACCGCTATGTTTGACTATATGAATATGAAATATTGTAAATTGAAGTTTATTTTATTACTTTTCGG